GCGCGCAGCAGCAGATAGCAGAAGATCAGTGAGAGGTGAAGAAGAAAGGGAAGAACAGATGACCAGGGAGAGAAATGAAAAAAAGCGCCAATTATTTAAAAGCGGACAGAAGAGAACCGACAAAATAACAAAACCAGAAAACGAGAAAACGAGAAAACGAGAAAACGAGAAGAGGACAAAACGACAAAACGAGAAGAGGACAAAACGACAAAACTAGAAAACGACAAAATTAGAAGAGGAGAAAACGACAAAACGAAAAAACTAGAAAACGAGAAAACGACAAAGCAAACAGAAAGTCTGCTTAGACTCCGCGATTATCAAGCAAAGGCGGGAAGGGGATCGATCGCTTCGGTCTTCCTCCGAGCACAAGGGACGTTCATCATGATCGTATCGGACTGGGAAGATAGCTCGTATACGTGCATGATGAGGCTGCGTTGTGTTCGGGGGAAAAGACTGTAGTAAGGAGAGGCAGCGGTAGCAAAGAGCGCGGGAGAGGGGAAAAGGAGGTGAAAATGGGAGAGGCAGTGGGAGGACAAGAGTTCGAGAGAGGATGAGGAGATGAAAATGGGAGACATGAGGCAGAAGAGAGAGATCCCGACGGGCGGATGTGTGAAATCGTCGGGACCTTGTCGGGGACTCTCAGACATGATAATCCATGCTGACGTGGACTTAACAGAGGGAGGGAGAAGAGGCCTCCCGCGTGATGACGTGTCGAGTGGCCATAATGACGTTATGGCTGGCCATGATGACATGGCTGGAAAAAAAAAGAAGAAAAAAGAAAAAAAGGAAAAAAAAAGAAAAAAAAAAGAGAAAAAAAAAGAAAAAAAAAGAAAAAAAGAAAAAAGAAAGGCATGGCTGACCGTGATTAACTCGTCCGGAGGGAGAAGGCCAGGAAGAATAGACGCGATCAATTTATAAGTCATTGTTTCACAATTTTTATTACAGTTTATTACAGTTTATTTCAGTTTATGTTAAAATTTATATTAGAATGTAGTTAAAAAAAGGTGAGAGGGAAAAACAAGTAATCTCTGGGTTTTCCCTGCCGCGGGGGGAGGAGTAAATCGCGGGCCGTACTCACACTAGCCGTCTTCGCCCGAATAGAACGCCCGGTCATTATCGTTGTATCTGGACTGAATGTTGCACGAGATATGGCTACTATGACCGGGCGTTCTATTCGGTTGAAGAAGGTAGGACTTTCTGGTATGCGTCTGATGTCATTTGCCGACTAATTCATTCGAAAAATCCCGCTGTCACGTATGGCTTTTGTATTCAAGATTCTCTCCTCTCCCCCATTCCCCCCTTCCCCCCCTTCCCCCCGCCCTCTTCCCCCCAGACCCCGCTACTCGTAGAGAACGATGGGGGTGATGTGCGCGCGCGTGTGAGTGAGTGTGTGTGTGTGTGTGTGTGAGCTGTCTCTTATACACATCATGATGATGATGATGATGATTACGAGATGATGAT